CCTGTCCAAGGCGTGGACTGATGGGAATCCGGAAGAGCCAGCTTGGGATTCATTTGGACGGCCTGCCTTTGGCTCGGCCTTGCTTGGATGATTAATAGAGGGGGAGAGCCCCTGTACGAGCAAGTTCAGTACATGGTGCCAAACCGACCCCTCTACCTTTTTCTCAGAACACTCATGGAATTGGACCCTAGGGCTCCTGTCCCATATTTTCAGGTGTGTAGACCCCCCTAGCACCCACCCGAAGCACCGACTTCGGAGGTGGGCCAGGAGGGACGGGGGAAAACGGTCGGTCCACCGAAGACGGTGGAGAGAAGGCGACCCCCAAGACTCGAGTCGTCGAGGACGAGAAGATCGGGTCAAGCGAAGCTGGCGAAGCTGTGGTCGTCTTCAAGTGACTAGGATAGTACACGTGACTATACTAAGGATAGGGGGCCGATGACATAGGTGGAGCGCTACAACCGGGTACTACTAGCTTCTGATGACATAGGATTTATGGTGTTTGATGGCTTGGGAAGAGCAGGCGGGTACTCCTTGGGAAGAGCAGACTTGGTCACTAGGAGGTAGTAGACATCCTTTGTCCCATCCCCACGCGTTCACTGACTCGGTTTCCGTCTCAGACTTCACGGACTCGCGAGGCTGAAGACTCACCCACCCCTGTCGATTGAACACAGACTCATGCTTGCGTGGTAGGTGAGAGTACAAGAACAAAAGAGGTAGGAGATTCCCACCGGGAGAGCAGGTCCAAAGCAGATGTCACATAAAGCAAGCCGACCCAGCTCCGAGCATACAACATTTTAGAGTTTTGTCGGTTGAGGGAGTAAGCAACAAGCAAAGGTTTTGTCGTGGTTCACTTCTTCCGAATCGTTTGCGAGATCTACTTTTGGACCACGCCAGACCTTCAGAGTCCCAGAGCGTATTCCACGTGAGTCCATGACGATTGTGATGGATCGGCCAAACATGGCAGGGCTTCTCCAAGGAAAAACGGGAGGAGCTAGCCGTGGCTGGGCACTGGAGGTGGGGGGAGGGAGAGCAGCACTTGATGGAAAGCCCGTGGAGGGGTACTTCAGTCAGATCACAGGTGAGTCAGGTGGCTTCCCTCAAGGCCATATTAGTGATATATATATATATATACCAGGGCTGCCTTACATAGGGGTGTCTAATAATAGCCCCTTAGAGGTTATGAGGTCTCTATTAACAACCCCTGTGTGGGACCTGGTAGTGACTAACTAGTGCTGAGTACCTTGTAGTGGATGCCATTGCATTTGCAGATCATTTCCTACCGGTTGGGTGCCAAACTCGACCTTGGAGGCTGAGGTCTGAAAAGATGCAAGGGAGAACCCAAAGCCACTGAAGGGGGCCACTGAAGCACTTGTCCACCGACGCCACCACTCGCGGTGATCGGGGCAGGTCCCTTGTGGACAGCATCGGTCCATGGACAACTGGTTGGAACGCACTCCACGTACTCCACGTTCCAAAAGCTCCAAGGACATGGTGAAAGGCCACATGGGCTCCATTGCCACCAGCCTCGCCAAGGCATGAGAAAGGATTCGACTTCTCTAGAAGAGGGAGATCTGAGCTGTTGGGAGGGCACGGAGGTTCTCTCGCTGTTATTATCACCAGACCTTTTTTTTCTTGGGGAGTTGCATTGGATGCATCAATACAGGATTCCAGCTTGCTGTTTTGATCTGTTTTGCGTGTAGTGTGGCAATATGTCTTTGCTCCCAACAAGCAAAGGCTGACAGTGATACTGGCACAGGAGTTTCTGGAATTGCTACTTAGAATTGCACGAAACAAGCAAACAGAAAGCATATACACCAAGCTTGAGACTGCAGCAAATGGTTTTGATGTGTGTTACTTCTTTGATCATGCAAAGTGATCAGACATCAGACAGACAAGGATGTCGGGATGCGTGTATTTGTAGATCGGCATTCACATGGAAACGACACGAGTGACAGTGACAGACAACTCGTCGTAAAACACCCAAAGGAACGAACACATCGTCGTCGAGTCGTATCCCTCAAGTCATTCATTGTATTATTTGTATTGTTTGCCCTGCACGTCCTCGATATATTGAAGGTTACCAGGTGGCACGGGACCCTTTGGTGGCATTTACTAGCGTGTCCCAGCTAGTCCGGTATAGCCGTCGGTCAAAGATGATCGAGACATAGCCGAATATCAGATGGGAGGTATTTTTGCCAAGCTACACTCCAAATCAGTCACATGAAGTAGATAGGCATTTTCCATTATTTTCCCTTGGAAGACTATTCTTTAACAGCATCAAACAGCAGCTTTTTTCGCTTTCATGTGATGTGTGTTGTCGGAGTGTCACATGTGTTGGGAACCACGGTCGGGTTGATGTGGGTCGACGTGACCCATTTGCGGGGGGCGACCAATCCGAGGAACAGAACCCTTCAGTATTTTGGAGGGATCCACCTTCTCAGAAGGGACTTGGGCCCTCCTGGCGAACAACGGCCCGCCCGACCTTTCGTGCGCAAATATCACTCTGGACTTGGACATGGATCAATCAGATGGAGACGTGCGCAGAAAGGAGTATGGCAGCATCTCACCTTTTAGTGCATGAGCACAGAAGGAAAACAGTTGTAATTTAATACTATATATATATATATTATATGTTGCCTTGATGGGTTTGTCTACCATCTACCCATTTTTTACCCTAAACCCATCATCAACCCTAAACCGGGATCCCTGATTGGCCTTGATGACGGACACCTTTTTGCTGTCCACGCGCATCTCCGCGCGCGCGCGCGCACGCGCGACTGCGCAGTTCGGCAGGGTGTGTGCTTCGTGGTCTCCAGCGAAGAACTGATGAAGAAGGAGACGAAAGAAGTGGAAGCTGGAGCCCTGGAGACCTGGAGACCTGGACTCGATCCAAGTTGACGAGGGCTTCCCATGAAGAGAGATCTACCAGTGGGAGGGGTGCCGAACTTGGAGGCCGCGGGGTACCCACATCCACTCGCAGGATTGGAACAAAACAAAGCACCCAAGTGGGTCAAAGTCCAACTGAACTGCTGCTTTAAGACACCCAGATTGGAGTGTTGAACTACATACCCCAGCAAGTCCAAAGGACGGGTTGAACTGGTTAAACTGGTGCGTTGACCCACTGGGTACATAATATAATGAAATCCGGTTAACGTTTTTGTGTGGATCTACAGTACGGGGCGCAGTACTTTGAACAGCGCGTTCTGAGGTCCAAATCGTGACGGCGCCCGAAAAAATGAAAAGGATTGCAACCGGCCACAACCATCGCGACACTGCAGGGCTTGGAAACTGAAAACTGAAAAGACACCTGTCTCCTCGATGCAGAATAGTGGTATATTCTGATATTTTGGCATTTCAATATCAGTTTTTACAGAACAGTCGTGTTCGTGGTGCCAAATCCTCTTATGGTGGGATTTCAATTCCCATATCCTGTCATGCGGGACCTCATATCCGGAGGGTGGTGCGGAAAAACGATCACTGTTCGTGTTGAGGTGGTACCTGTGAAAGGGGACTCAGTCCGGTCGCTGCGACCCTCAGAGCATTTGGCTCACTGCATCAGCCAGCATCGCGGTCCCCGAGAAGCGCCATCGCATCCTGCATCGCTGATGTCGCAGCTCGTCAGAAGAGTCAACTGCCTGAAGTGAAAACTCATTAGATATCATTTAGATGATATTAGGTGGTGTTTTGATGCGTGTTGAATCAGTTTTATGTTGTTGTATTTTTCCCAGATAGCGAGAACTTTCTTACTTATATTCATAGGAAGAGGTGCCTGTATGTGCTTTAGAGCTTGGGTGCTGGTGCCGCTGCAGGGTGCCAGAGGTGCTGCAGCAGGTTGCTGCTGCCAGATGACTATATGGCACCTTAACGTCGCCTGCTGCAGTGGTGTCGCTGCTGCCACATGTGTATGGCGGTGCGACATGTGAGCGTGGGTGCTGGTGTCATGCTGCCAATATGTTTTTGCTATGTGGGGTCAATGCGCGGCTGCGTACTATTTGCTTATAGTAAATCTGTTTGACCCGAAGGAGATGAGGGAAGTGGTCAAAGCACTTGCCCTGGATCGGACCCTGGGCACAGTATAGACAGAGATCTCAGATAGGCTCCTGCTTTTGGGATCGGATAAACATAGAGCATCATAGCCTGTGGATCGCTAATGATACCTGCTTCACATGTAGAACGCATGGTTGTTGGAGGCTTAAGGTTGAGGCGCGCTGTTCTTTCACATGTGTTTCTGATTGTTTGATCGGCTTTCACATGAGGGTGCCAACCAAAGGCTTTTTCGCCCTCTCTCAACCACAGACATCCTACACTCTGCGAGTCGTTCACATGCGAAATCGAGCGATCGAACGCCACTCGTGCTATTCGGATTTCATGGATCAGGGCATGCCTTCGCCAACGCATGGTCCAGATCCAGTAGACATTCACCTCTTTGGCGCGCGCGCGCGCGCGCTGTGCGTGGGCTCCGCTGATGCCTATAGGTACTACACCAAGATCGATGGCGTGAACCTGGACCGAGCGCTGAAAAAGACGGCAAGACGACAGCCTAGTGGCCAAAGTTCTGGTGGCCAAACCCACATGGTCCCACTACAAATCACCTGTGCCAGTAGGAGGGTCCTGCAAAATGGGTTGAGGATGGTGTTGAGAAGGTATGATGTCATGTAGGACCTTCCAACCCACTTGCTACCACAGATTTCGATGATTCTACGAATATTTCTTGGACTTCAACAGCTCCTTGCCAAAAGCCAACAGGTCTTCTCGCTACCGTGGTTCCCAAGAAAATGCACATCGCAGGGAAGGAACATGTTACATGTTGAAGTATTTGTGGAAAGTTGTCCTCTAGAAATTCCATGTCCGTTTGATGGAAAGAACATAATTTGTTTTGCAACAGAAGTAATGTATAGACTCTTGATTAAAGGCTCGCCCCCAATTGGATCTAAAAGCATTTTCATATGGTGGGTTTATTAATCAAGAGTCTACATTTCGCTTGGTCACAGACCATTCTGATGGTGCTTGTCGCGGCGTACCGAGCACAGGACGCTGCCATCATCGAGGCCTGCGAGGCGGCTGTGAAGGGCAAAGGTGATGGCCGCGTTTCCGTGGAGGATGCTCAGGAGGCGGCGGCGGCGTTGAGAGGTGACATGACCTGGCAAAAGCGAGCAATTGAAATAGTCCTACATCTTATTTTATTATCAGTTGTTTCATGTTGTTTCTTGGTTCCCTATGGTTCCCTTCTTTTCTTGGACTCTGGTGCTCGTCCATAGGCTCGATTCGGTTTCTCCCCCGCCCCGGTGAGACGTCCGCTGTCGCGTGGCTGTGCAGCGGCACGCAGGTCTTCAAGTTCGTGAAGGACGCAGGGAAGGTCACTGAGACGGAGCTCTGGACCATGCGCTATTGCCTCACCGAGTGCCCCACGAAAAGAATCTCTTTACCCCCCCTTCCCCAGTTTCAACTTGATGTGATGTCAGTGATTGACCAATAGTTGTTGCATGTGTTTAAACACAGGATTCATCAACTCACCCAATTAAATATATACTTTGGTCCACCTCGGTCCGCCTCCAAAGCCTTTCAAATGATATTTGTACACCCAACTGCAGCAGACCAACTCAACGATAAGGCCCTCCAAAGCCTGGCCTTGCCTCTCCTCTGTGGGATGGTCGTGACTTGGGAGGTGGATTCCGGCTCCACCACCCGAGACATGCAACGCATAGCGACAGTCCACGTGGGTCTCGCAGGTCTCTCGGGTCTCTCGGGTCTTTGGTCTCTTTGAGAACACCGGTCCACCGAGTCGACCCGTCCCATCCACCGACCCCAAAAGTCCGGACCGGGACGCGTCGCGGGACGGACACAGGTACAACTTCACCGAGGCGGCGAGCGATTGGATCACCAACGCGGTGAAGGGCATCACCAAGTATGCCGACAAGGTCGCAAAGGCCGGGGGGGTGGGAATGGGGTGGGATGGAGAGGGGTCGTGGAGAGGGGTATTCGAGCCGCCGGGGACGGGGACGGCGCCGCCGGTGAGCCCTTGACACACACACACACATGATGCTTTCCTTCAACCGCGAATGGCCTGGGAGGGTCTTTTGGCGGGCAGCAACGGCGAGAGTTGGGCGGTGTGAGGGAGTGTCGCGTTGTGATATGTTGTGACACGGGTTTTGTGACCATAATGAGTCATCAAATTTACCTCCCACTGGTTTTCAAGGGTAAGGGGGAATGAAATGTAAGAGGAAAACGACCCTCGGCGGTTGGCATATCTTGTAGGATATTGAAGGGGTGAAGAGGAGTGCATGGGAGAGCCTTGTGTATCTGTTTACAGGATGCTAGAGTACTCTGCAAGATGTTTCCGGACTCGTAAATTACTAGGTACCGTAGGTACCAGACACGTTGTTTTGCCAATCTCCTCAATCTCTTAGACCCTGTGACACTGTGTACATGTAATGATTCATGAAAGAGTCCAAGCAACATGCAACTATCTTCGAGTTGCGGGACTGCAGGTGGGACAAAAATAAAACATCACCGGGACAAAGGATCATGAACAAAGGAATCATGTCTCATGTCTTCTCTACACTCGATCCCTGGAAGTCATTGGGTCGTGAGGGGTCTTGAGGGGCCATCCATGTTGGATCGAGGATCACTCCTCCCAGTGGCACCGAAGAAGCCGCGGCCAGCACGCTCAGCACGCCCAGCACGCCCGGCGCCAGGGGAAGAAGATCTCCGGGTACTATGAGAAGGTCGATGGTGTCCAGTGCCTTTGTTGATTTGTTTTGGTCCCACCCAGCTGGAGAAATCTCCCGTTTTTTTTTTTTTTTTTTTTTTTTCGGTGTGTTTGATTGTCAATCACTTTAAAGGCTCATGTTACACAGTTCATGAAATTACATCATACGTATTGATGCACATATCATCCAGGGGTGTTCCAATGGAGGCCTCATATATGTTTTTTGTTTCATAGTTGTCCCCTATTTTGTTGACTCACCCTAAACTTAAACTGGTGAGTAAGACATGTCTTGGATAAACATCACATGCGTGATGTTGGAAGCAACCACAGGACGTATACGCTGGATCCCAGACGTGAGCATCTTGCAGCGTAGACCAAGAGTCTAAGAGTCTAAGAGGTGGATGGGGGACAGGATGAGCTGCATCTGAAAGAGTGAAGGTGTTTGGATCCTTTCGAACTTTCCAGCTTCCCCACATGAGATCGTTTGGCCCGCACCTAAAGGATCTCGATCGAATCGACCGTGAGGTCGGTGGGCGGCTGACGTAAGCCTCAACAGACCCATGCAAAGTGAATGGAAAGTATATACAATGTATGCCTCAGGACGTTCCAAAAGCTTCCCAATGCTTCAACCTGATTGGAGATCAATGAATGGATCCGCCACCCTCCAAAACACCGTAGAATGAAACAGGAGTTGAGTGCTGTGGCTGGAACAGGACGGGGTTTGGAACCAAAAACATCCCGTGGCCTAGCTGCATGGTGCAACATGTACTTACCTGCCCAGTCATACTTGGTTGTTGCCGGCGAAAGGGTGTGTGTGTGTGTGTGTTTGTGTCCAAGGTCTATTGCAATAGCTGTAAAGGGCTAATACACTTCCTGGATCTTCCTGGATATCATTGCATCGTGCTCACATCGAGCTCCTTCTCAAGTCTTCAAGTGTATATATGCTTTGCTTGTAGCTTGTAGAGTGTTGTGTCTCTGGCAAGTTCTCTGACTCTGGTCAGCACTCTGCTGGACTTGTCCTACTACCACGCTGTGGACACTCAAGAAACATCGAATGTTGCTGCTGCACAAGTTCAATATTTGCATGTGTTTTGGTGGCTCATGTATGTTCATGGTGGCTGGCAAACTATAGTTTTCAAACCCTGCGATGCATATAGCCCGGAGCATACCCCCGAAGCATACCCCATAGTCAAACATCCCGGCCGGGGAATTTGGATCTTTATGGTCAAATCCCCCATGGAAGCCGCTTCCAACGGTCTCCACCGGACACACCGGAGGCTTTGATCAAACACCGGAGGCTGTGTGGTGCGGAGGAGGCCGTGGCCTTCAGTCTCCACCCCCATGCCACCTGTGTGACAACAGCACTCTGACGGAGGTTCTGGACCGGACCAGGTGAAGTCCTGGGTCAGACTGGACGGTTTGTAGGCCATTTGAACCTGCAATCGTAGGTAAATATACCTAGAACCTGAATGACCTCTATTTTGGATCACCAACCACCCAAAATAAGGTCTTTTCCTTTCAAAACGGAGGTCAAATGGGCTCTAGGTACATGAGATCATTTGGGGTACGGGAGTCTTCGCCCAGGTGCGATCACGAGGTCTTGGAGGTTTGCCGCAAGGCCGTCGCCGGCGCTGGCGACGGGCGTGTCAGCAAGGCGGGGAGGGGTGGATGACGGTGGGACGGAGTAGGACGACGGAGTGGGTGGATTAGGCTCCTGAAGATGAGGGCGCCTTCTGTGAGGGGTGGATTAGGATTCAACAGATGGCTGATATTTGGATGATGTTGGATGTTCGCTATAGGGGGGTATGGGTCATGATCCGTACTTCAAGTCGTACGTCACGTGGGCTTCACGACTGTCATTCCGAAGCGCCAGACGCACGGTGCTGGGAGGGCGGCACAGCGGCCCTCCCAGGCACCGCGGCCCTTGTGGCTTTTCTTTGTGTTCCTGCTCCCTGCTTGGACAAACAAACCGTTTTGCACAGCAAAGAATGAACCCCAGGAGGATGCCAAGTTGGTGCTGGCGGCCGTGACCGATGGCGGGAAGGCAAGGGTGCCAGGGTATACCATAGGGAGCCTCATGCTACTGTTGGTGTGGCTGCCTGGAACCTCAGTGAACCCCTGAGGGTTTTGGATGTTTTTGGGCCGGCCAACAGATGCCAAAGCATGTTGCTTCTGATCAAAGAGGGTTCAGCCGGTGAGACTGTCAGGTAGGTCCAATCCAGTAAGCTTGTGTGGCCTACTTTCGTTCTTTCTGATTGGCTAAATCATTCCATCTGCAGCGAGTGATGGAGGCCCGCAGCGAGTGGAGATGTTCAAGGAACGACGGTTCGGAAGCACCTCCTGTCGCTCGCGACTGATGAGACTGAAGCCTCGGTTTGAAAACCTAAGAGGGTGCGAACGAAGTACAGCCAGCTCTCCCCACCTGCTCTCCGGACCCCCCCACTTGCTCCAGGGACTTCGTTGTAAAAGCACCCACTCCGCATCCCAGCGCCTCATCTGGCACTTCATCTTGCTTAGCCAAGCATCCCAGCCAAGCATCCTGGTCCCCCTCCCTTCGCTCCCTTCGCTTGACCGATTCGGCAGGTCCCGGACCGGGGTCCGTGACGGCCGCAGGTCACTCAGACCGAGAAGTGGACCTTGAGACTTTGCCTCTCCGCTGCTCGGCGCACGTCCGTCCGTTCCGAAGCGCGCCCGGAGGTGTCCGGGGAGACGGTGGGGGCGGAGATGGCCTCAGCTCTCCGGCTCGACAGGGATCTCATGTTCCTGAAGGTTTTTTGCTGATCTGAGAGGACCAGCAATGTAGCACATTGTATAGCAATGTAGCCAAATCGCTCGAGGTCCTCGAAAGGAGCACGAGTTGTGAGAGAAAGAGATCGGAAGTGCATGACACGGGAGGGACCAGGGACCAGGGATGCTTCCGATTAACCCACTTTTGGGTGGATGCTCTACGTCCATGCGGGTGAGTTGAGTCTCTATAGATCTGTAATAGACTGTATTTGTAATAGGTTCAATAAAGAAAAACACTACCAAGCGTTTGGTTTCTACATCCTCTAGGCCATTGATATGGTCATGGTCGGCCCACCAGCCACGCTCGTCACCAGCGACTTCGCGCCCTCTTTCACTCCATCCGGTGGCGAGTTCCGGGCTTCGCGCTGGGGCCAGAGAGATGGAGAAAACAAGGCATGGGCGTTTTGAGCGGGGAGGTGCTAGCTGCTAAGTCACTGCTAGTGATATCAATCAATGATGTTCAATCCCCTTTTATTGGATAATTATGATCATTGATTGATGATCCAAGGATATTTTCCAGACCAGACCATGCATTCCGTTCCGTATACACGTCGGTGCTGCAGAGGAGCCGTTCCAGACGTCCTCCGTGCCTCAGGAGTTCAACTGGACGGAGGCTGCCCAAGATTGGTTTGCAGAGGAGCTGAAGGCGCGGAGCGAACCCGTCCCTGGGCGCTTCGGCGCTTCCATCGCCGCGGCGGCATCGTGGGTTCCACGGTCCAGCTGCCGGGCGGATTCGGTGTGCCACAGTGATGGTGGTGCTGGGCGTTGTTGATGTTTTTGATGTGCGCTATTTTCCTGGTCATCAGCGTTTGACAATGAGTCATAAGCAATCTAGAATTCAATTACAGTAGCCATGCAATGACTGAACAGCCACTTAGGCAGGCAATGACTGAACAGCATTTAGCTTATCACAAAATGCCTAGATTCTTTTGGACTATACCAGTAAATAGTGCTGCAGTGGGTTGCATAGGAGTTGGTCTATACTCCTTTGACACTGTAGGAAAAATACTGTATGTATGTATCTATTCTGACTGTCCGAAGCAGCTCCACCAGGCTTTCACCAGCGCTAAGAAGCGGCCCTCCTCTGCACCCGGTCGACCAGCCAAGAAGGTCGGCACGAGTCATCCGCAGCACCGTGGCACGTTTCGCCGCTTCGCCCCGCGCGGTCTGGGCGTTCTTTTTGGGCGCGTGGCCAGCGAGCTGAACGTGCTGGCACCTCAAAACGTACGTGGTGTGGCCATTTTGGGGTTTTGGAGCACATGACATCACATGACAGCATTTGTGCGCATGAGAAATGAGAAAAGTGCCCATGACAGCGTTGGCCCAAACACACGACCACGCACGACACGTGTAAAAAGCACCTGGAGCATGATGAGACTGTGGACGATGCACGGGGGAGAGTGTTTTGAAGTGTTTTGTGGGGTTGAAAGATCTCCTGCGAAGCTGTGCAGCTTCGCATGGGTTCAAAGTGACGGTGGTCCACCAGAGACATGGTGATCAGACCCACGGTGATCGCCCTGCTGCATTGTTGAACAAAGACACCTGGATCATCCTGGATCAAATCATGTTTCATGTGCATTCTCCCACAAAGCAAAAAGACTGTGTACAGGACAAATGCAACTGAGAAGTGTGGATAATGAGGAATTCAGCTCAGGGACATCCTCCACAGCCGTTTGAAATGGCACCTTCGTTTTCTCTGAGAGGTCAAGACAGTGGACAATGGAAAGAAGGTGAAGTCTGTGCTGGGCAGTCTGAAGGTCCTTGAGAAGTCTGTCACGTGGCAGTCTGAAGGGTATTGACATGGGTGGAGAGGCGTTCAGCGGGATGAGCATGGCACTGCTTCGCTTTTTGGTGATTGACGAGGCCAAAGTGGGATTTTGCAAGAACCTGCTACTGTAGGAAGTTGAAAAACCAAGCATTCGGGGCTTCCAGGTCGTAACATGTACAGTAAGCTGCCTTTTTCGTCTCTGGTCCATGGTCCATGAGTGCTTCACCTCCATGGTTCGGTGCTCATCCTCTGCAGTGTTCGCATCGTTTTCCGAGGCATGTTCCCCCACACCATGCTTGGGTGAAGGGGAATCAATTAGGTAAAGGGTTTGAGCTGATTAGAGTCCATCATAGTCCATAGTCCATTTCCTCACGTGTTTTTTCAGGTTCTTTGGGGGATGACCCTAATAGATGCTCCAAACACTGCAGCTACATGCAGCTACTAGTGTATATAATATTATATATATAGGATAGTTCTTCTTTTGGGAGACCTCTTTGTGAGGCACACACGACACATGGTTTTTCCACATCGACGACAAACTCACAGACCGGATAGGAAATTGGACCGGACGGCCTATCCACCATCCGTAGGATTGGAATTCGTTTTCCAATTTACCCCATGAACATGTCCCATTCATGTAGTCCTATTAGTATGGCATGTAACTATTCAGTTCTAGGTCACCCATCCATGTATATAGTCATTGTATCGCGTACATAACAACTCTCTCCGACGTCCCCCAAAACGGACGGACCGGGCTCCGTTTGGGGACTCCGTTCCGTCCTCGCCGAGGAGAAGGCTGATGTGTTGAGCATGGTGTCCTCCATGGGGCAGAAGACGTTAGCCGTGCCCAAGGAGGTTGGCACCGACGCACGGGGCACGGGGCACGGGCAGGGCACGAGCCGAGTCACACGAGTCCGGCCTCAGCCGCTGGCCGAGCCGCGAGCCGAGTCGCGCGATGTGGGACAGAGAAATGCCATGAAAGAAAAGGCACGAAGGAGTGCCTAGCGGCGCACTGGGCAGAGTGAGGCGAACGGAAAGAGGCATGGAAGGTAAGGCGAAGACACGTCGAGTGGTGATACCCCTGCGGCGCCCTGCGGCCTGAGGGACCGGACCCTTTCACAGCGGACCGAACCCCAGATGTTGAAAACCGTTTTGTGCCGAAGGAACGAGCTGATACTGACACCGCTTTTACTAGACTGCTTTGGAATGCCACAGATCTCACTGCTTAGACCGAACGAACGAACGCCTTTTTTGTTGATGTCCAACAAGTCAGTATGAAAAGAGAACCCTCCTCTGAGGAGCGAGGTTCGGACATGTTCAGACCTACTTGTTGGTCTCATGTTGTCCAAGATCAAACAACTACTGCTCAGATTTGGTCAACCGATCATTAACAGAACTCAAGTCATAAGATGTCATAAGTCCCCCTCCACCCGATCCCCAATCTAGGTAAAATTAAGCAAATATGCCATGTCCCTTGAATTGTTTGGGGTGCATTCCTTCTTTCTAGACATTTTTGGGGTTCATAGACCCACGGAAGCCAGTCGCAGGAGAGGCACAGCTTTCAAAGCGATGCCTTCAAGATGGTGGAGAAGGTCGGCATTCTTGGTTGAAATGCACCAACAAAAACGACACCTGCACAAATTTCCCAGGGCATGTCATAGTCCCAAAATCTCCCAAATGCCAGAGTTGGCCCAAAGCAAAGCAAATTTTGACAAGACTTGCCATGTGAAGACTCGTGACTCACATCACTTGACTCAATTTGACCGTCCAGCCAGCCCCACAATCACGCACTCGCAAGTAGCAGGATTACTTGTTTAGCATGTGTATTCCAAGTTGAAAAGTTGTTGGTGAAACAAACTTGTTGGTTGCAATCGTTTGCATTGCATTGCAATGCGACATATTGCTAAATACAGCACATGCAAACCACCAAATAAGCAGGTTTGAAATGTTTTGAATGAATTGCAGGTGTTCGATGGTTTTCGGCTATTCCGGGCAGGTGCCTGTATACTTGTCCCGTCACGAGTGCAGTTTTATCATACCATCTCCTTCTTCGCTTCCCCAGTCTTCCAAGCCGAGCGGCGCAGTTGCTGAACGATGCGCATGTGGTCTTGCAAAATCAGGTGTGGTGCCGAGCGACCGCGCTTCCGAACGACCGCGCCCGCACGACGGTGACGGTCGGGAGGAAGGACGGAGGGGGTCCTGGGATGTCCTGGGTGCAACTCGCGAGCACCACGGATGCGGAGGAAGCTCCGTTGAAGGACTCCGGTTACGAGGTTTGATAAGGGATGTACTGGTTATAAACAGATAACTCACACTCTGACTTCCTACGTGATGAAAAATGCTTTCGGGCCACTCGTCGTCTAGTTCTGTGAACCGCTCCGCGGAAACCGTGAACCGTGCAGCTGGCGGCGGCCAAAGAGCTCATCGACAACTCGGACGCGGAGAAGGCCAAACGGGAGGCGGCGGTGAAGGCGGCAGAAGAAGCTTTGACTGCGAGCAAGGCGAGAGGGACCGGGCGAAGGGACGACGGAAGTAGGAGATTTGGTACAACAAAGCTGGAGTTGTTGGATCTTATACAAGGCAGTTGTACAATATCAAATGGCTTTAGATTCGAGTGCCAGCAGTCTAGAAAGGGAATGTTGCATACTCATGCATGCTCTAATTACCCAGTCGGTAGTTAACCTCTACCAAGTCTGCAATTATACATACCCTATCTCTAGCAACAGGGACTCAATTACTATCGAAGCTGGGTACAAAACAGCGCACGCTTCTTGCTTTCTGAAATCGGTCCCTCAGCAGACCACGTTCGATCAGTCGGACATCCCAAATCCATTTATACGCCTGCAGATCGTGCACCGATGTTCGCCAATTCGATCCCTCGAGGCGGGCAAGGAGAAGGCCATGGAGAAGAACCAGGAGAAGAGCACCGCCTTGAAGGCGGCGTTGGAAAGGATGACTGGATGAGGATGGGACCGGAATCTCCGGCAGCGAGCATGCCCTTATTCCATTGGCTGTGTTGATTAAGGGGGCGCCTTTTCACTCGCTGGGTCGTCCTGCAACAAGCCGGTTTTCGCGCCCCAAGGGTTCGGTGCGCCCCTTGGGTCGCAGGGTGTCCATCCAAGAGGTCTTTGGATTTCTTAGTCCGAACACTTCATTCTGGGCCAGAATGAGCAAAATTTCATTCTAGGCCTGCCAAAAACGGGCCAACACAGTCTCCAAAATGTTGGCATTTGTACAACAGATTGGCCAGACAATGCAATCACGTGAGGCTGCGGAGGATGCGCTGAAGTCAGCGCAGACGCAGCAGAAGGACGGCGATGCCAAGGCAGTGAGCCTGGAGAAGGTGCGGAGTAGAGCAGAGCGGGAGGGGCTGCGGGCTGTGATGTCTTTAAGGCTGTTGTTGGAAGCCGGCGCAATGGGCTCCTGAGAGATTGTTTGGTGCAAAAAACAACACCATTCCAATGATGAAATGAAGCGCAAGGACACACATATCATATGAACTTCTTCATCCACCACCACATCCGATCCAGCTGCTGTGTGCCAAAAATAATTTTCTTGGAATTAACCCTCGTCGCCCTGGCTCACCCATTGAGCTGGGTCCCAGGAGAAGGCGGCGCTTGAAGAGGGCACCAAAGATTGGATGGGCGAGTTGAGGAAGGCTGAGAAAGGCTGGACTGGAGAGGGATGGCAGCTGGCCATGACAAGACTGTGACTAGGATGAAGTTGGATGTGTTTCATTGGTGAGGGATGGTGAAATATCACCCCTCCTAACTAAATGGTTAATGGGGGGGGTACGTGGTGGCTAGCCATTTTCCATTAGCCATTTGTTTTTAAAGATGTATACATATATATATATATGTATGTATTTATGTTGTTTTTGCATACAGATATATACAGATCAACTGACAAGTATCACCGGTGAGGTCGGAATGCATTTAATGACCATACCATCCCACTTTCATTGCTAGTGGTTGGATGTGTTGATAGATGTTGATTTATGTTGATATAAACTTATCACACATGACCTTTGAACACACATGTATTTTCATGTATTTTCCAACAGGTTCAATATGGCTCAATATTGTTCAGCCTGGTCCGCGCACCACAGCCATTTGCTTTGCTTCCAGCAACATCCACTCCATAGTCTTTTGTCATCGGTGAAGCCGGTCACTGCCTCAGCAGATCTTCATGAAGAGTTTGAAGGTGAAGGTGTTTGAAGGGCTTTGAACTTTGAGATACTTTGAGTGAAGATGAGGCTGGCAGGTCCAGGTAGGTGTTGGCCATTGAAGCTAGAGTTTGCAGTACCTTGCAGTGCATTAGTTGGACTGAATTGCAGCATTTTTGTGGTCTCAAGTGATGCTAAGATTTGCTGAGATGCATGTCAGCTTACTTCAACACACATATAGGATACCATATGTATCAATGAATGTCAGCAAACTCCTCCCTACATTATATCATATTATATCACAATTCAATATATGTGATGTGACATATATATATATATATTTACAAAATACTCTATAGTATTGTATAGAACAGCACATGTCAACATATGTCACCAGGAATCAACATTGCTTACAGGAATCTACAGATGTTGAACTTTCTTATACTTTCATATACCTTCACATATCTCACATACCTTCATCAGTCTGGGCAATTCTGGGCACACTTGTGAGATTTTCATCGGTGATCATCGGATATCATCGGCGCTTTTTTCATCGGTGAAAGCTCATCGGTGAACGCGATGGGTTGGTGCAGCCTGTGCTACCTGCCGCTGGGGGAGCATGCGTTTTTTTGCGGCGCCAATCAGCGATCGCACCGGTTCCACGAAGGGTGCAGATTTGGCAGTGTTCGCGCCTTGGCTTATCTTGCCTTTGAAAATGTTTGAAAGCATTCAAAACCTTTGCCATGCTTGGCCCCAGATGGCCCCAGTAAAACATGTAAAAACATGTAAAGACACCCGGATACATCAGGTAATATCATGTCATTTCATGATATTTCACTTAACATGTTTCCGCCCGTGGTGCGCTACACGGAACAAGTTGCATGATTACACGGACGCACGACTTTAATTGATGATAATTTATGTTAATTATTGTTAATTGTATTGTTTCATGTTTCAGCACGTGTCAGACTGGTGCATTGAGGAGGCTTGCTGAACATGGCACTGCGCCACGCTTCATCAAGGCCCGATGATACACGGAAACTTGGTGGATTATTTTTGGGATGGTTTTATATGGTTTTGTAAGATTTTACATGACCTTAAATGACTTTATATGGTTGGCTTTATATATACGTACATTGTTTTTTAAATTGGGTTTTGCGTTTAATTTTTGTAAATATATCTGCATATATCTGCATATATACAATCACTTGCATTCATTTGCATTCGCCCGACTGAGATGCCCCTTTTGCATCCTGCAATCACTGGGTACACGCTATCTCTGCGCATGGCCACCACCGGTGCTTGTGACGGCAGTTGGTGCGAACAAGCACTACAACATGCCTGAAGACACCTGGAAAGCACACCCCATACCCCCCCTTTTCTGCAGTTGTCCTTTTGGAGATTTTTGGAGAACCTTTCTGAAAAGATGTCATGAGTTGTCTTGATATGTCTTGATTTGGTCTATGTCTATCTTGATCTGAGGCTCGTCACCCGTGCAGATGGCCAGACACCAGTGAAAGCAATCAGCGTGATAGCTTGGTGATGGATGTGCTCCTGAGATTGCACGTGGCAACATGTTCATCTATATTCATCATGAATGACCTCACAGGATCTAGTTTCTCACTTTTTATCATAGTTTATCATATTTTCTCACCTCACATCACCTCACATGATCTCACATGTGCTTGGTGTATGGTGTTGCACCATGCCTAAGGCGGCCAACGCTGCCTGGCAACCGGCCGACGCAGAAGATGCCTTGCGGGCTGGTGGCTTCGACGAGGGCTGGCATCATTAGCCACGGGTGGTTCTCCAATGCAGTGAGAACATTTGTGGCTCAGCCTTCGTCAGTGGTGGTGCGCTTTGGCTGCAAGCAGTTGCAAAACTTTCACGTATACCCAGGTGTTCATTGATATTCATGGATGTTCATGGTCAATATGTGTCAATAAAACTCAATGACTTGTTGATTTTTTGATACTTTTTGAAAATAATTGAAAGAGATTGAAAGGTTGTCCCGAAGTTGTTTTAATTTTGGTCTATCTGTGTTTATTTATGTCTATTTGTATTTATTTATGCATATTCTGATCTATTTTGATATCTTTTGATGTATTTTGATGTATTTTGGTCTGCATTGATCTTATTGTTGCTGAGTGTTGTATATTGTTGTATATGTTTTTCGATTTGTAGATGTTTGCCTACATACATATTGGTTCATTTCAAAACATAAACTGATCTAAACTGGGATATTTATTGTTATTGCTTTTTTTATGTTTTGAGTTTGGGATTTTTGTTACGTTGATTTACGTTGTTTGCCTTGGCTCTTTCAAGTATCTCCGTCTAAGATGTTCTACATGTATTTTTGATTTGCTTTGAGAATCATGTTTCATGATGCTATACCATGTTCTATCATGCTATATCATGCTCTAGCATGTTTCATGTTTCGTTACAACTGGTTGAATCAGTTTCGTTACATCATATTACATCTCCTTTTTATCTCCTTGTAAGGCTGTACTGCTCATGGGGTCATCACAGGTCAGTCACCTGTGCGCTGGTACTGGCTGGAATTCTTCGGCGGTCAGGACGCAACTTGGCAGAGTCTGGCTGCATAAGGAACTGATGTGATTGCTGAGCGAATCACACGTAGAAATCAATGTTGCAATATGTGGCAATAATTTGTGCAATGTGTGATCATGTGTGGTGTTTTATCACGAAAGCTAGCGAAGCTAGCCGGAGTTACTCTTGCGATAGCAAGGTTTCTTTCGATCGAGCGCAAATCCTAACCCCTGATTTTTCAGGTCGAAGCCCCCGCCCCTCTCACACTCTCACTGTCTCTCTCTCTCTCATCTCCCTCTCTCTCTCTCTCTCTCATCTCTCTCTCTCTCATCTCTCTCTCATCTCTCTCTCTCTCTC